GTCCTCTTAGTATGGTTTTTATGGGATGCATATCATTTTTATTATATGCATTTTATGTTTCTCTTCTTTAGTATGTTTGTAATAGGCCTCAAATATATATTGGACAACTGAAATATATGCAGTCAGCACTTCATTGTCCTCTTTGTTTTGACTTCTGGTTTAAATAACAGAGGCTAGTTAGGCTTACAAACTGTTCTCACTGACACATATTAAAATGATTTCTAAGCTGGGTGCAGGTGGCTCAGCCCTATAATCTTTACTCAGGAGGCTGAGATCTGAAGATTGTGATTTGAAGCTAACTCTGGTAGGAAAGCCCGTGAGATACTTATCTCCAAATAATTACCAAAAAAGCCAAAAATACAACTGTGGTTCAAGTGGGAGAAGACTAGCCTTGAGCACAAAGGCTCAAGGACAGTGCTCAGGCCCTGAGGTTTTTGCCTAAAATTGAAAAAAAAGATTTCTGATGTTATTGTTTACTTCATCCATGATGTCATAAGCACCCATGGCTATCTTCCTTTGTGTTGATGTTACTGATACGGTCCTGCTATTCCAAGGTAGACTTGGAAAGAGAATGATAAGAAAGTGTTACCACATATGTCTCAGAGATTTGTCTGCCAAGGCTGGCCTTCTATCATTGTTTTCAGATCTCACCCTCTTGAGTAGTATCACAGGATGATCCTTTTTTCTTCTTCTTTCCAAAACCCCAATATGCTCCTTCAAATTGAAAGAAATTTCTGTATCCTAGTACAGGTAAGAACAATTCTTAAACAGGTGAAAAGTTTTATTTTATTAAATTAATTATTAATTACTTACATTACCATCCTAATGATTATCTTATATAATCTTTAATTTAAAAAGAGGCACAGAAATCAGCATAGCTGTTTCAATACCATTGGTTATCATAAGCTGCTTAGCAGAAAAAGTGTGAGGGAGAGTTATAGTTGTGATGTGGGAACATGGGGTGGGAATTTTGTAAAATGTCTTAAGAAGCAGGTTCAGTGCTAAAAAGAAGTCAAAAGAAATGGACGCCAATAGATTCTTGGACTAGGAAATGTCCTCAGCTGTTTAGATGGTGAGCAAATGAAGGGTCTAGAGGTTAAAAATCTAGAATAACCTTCATACTTAAGTATTGGTCTGGGCAACATGTTGAATGAACATTTAAAACAAGTTTTGTATGAACATATGTATGGTAAATATTGTGAATCCAAAAAGAAGTAATATTTTATAGAATAAAATGATTATGTCTCTGTTACAGCAAAGATTATGGTAAGTGCCTTCAGAATCAAAGCATTGAACTTTGACACAGGTGAGGTCAAATTTGTCTTTTACCTCCCACCTGACAGTTAATCTAAAAGTCCCTAAATATAAATATCTTATGTAAGATTAAGTAGCATTAAAATTTTAAATGTATAAACAAATATCAGTAACTCATATAGTAGAAAAATTTAATTTCACTATTATCAAAATCAGAAATATTATCTGTCAGGTAATCTCTCAGTGTATTCTTAGACAAGAATGGATGTCACCTATCAATTACATTGGAAATCCAACTGCTGAAAAAAGAGCAGTGGACAGCTTAATGCCAGTTCTGAATGTCCAATTTGTTTACTGCTTCATCTGCTACCAACCAAGTACATATTATGTGCAATTTGTATATTTAAATTTAGTTAACATATAACCACTGTCCCTACAACATTGTAATCAGGTTTTAATACATACAGACAGAGAGGAATGGTTGATTCAAATCCATCACATTGGAATTTTACAGTTTTTTTGTTTTCATATGTTCAAAATCCTATTTTCTTGAAGGATATATTATTTTTCATGTATTATACATTATTTTAACTATGTTCATCCTCTTGTACCATACAATATCAGAAATAATTCCTCCTGCCTACATGTAATGCTGTACATTGACTTCCTCTACTGTCCCATATAAGCCCACTCTAGTACGGCTCTGATTACCTCTATTCTGTTATCAATTCTATGAGAGCAGCTCTTTTTATATTTCACATACCAGCAATATCCTGCAGTGCTTGTGTGTGTGTATGTGTGTCTAATTTATTTTAACATAATGTTCTCCATGTTCATTCATGATAACACAAATGCAAGAATTTCATTCTTTCTAGTGGCATAATAGCATTCCAAGTAATATATGTCCCAATATTCTGTATGCATTCTTCTGTTGGTGGACATTTAAGTTGGCATTATATCTTAGTCACTGTTCAGTAGTATATTGCAATAAACAAAGTAAATGTGTCCTTAAATATCCTGATTTCATACAGGTGGACCCATTGCAACAATGAGATGTACAAGTAGTTATGTTGAAAATGAACTTTACAACTTTGGTGGGGGAGAGGGAGGAGGATTGGGAAGGAGGGCGGGGGGGAGAAGGGGAAGGGATGGGTAGGGGAAACAAAGGAGGAAGCTACAATGCTTGATCAGAAATATACTCATTATCTTGTCCATGTAATTGTAACCCCTCTGTAAAAAAATCCTGATTTCACTCCTTACATGTGTGAAACCACCTTATAATTTTCTCTTAGGGACCTAATTGGGGAATGGCCAGATCCACAGATCAGGCATTTAATTTATGAGGACACATACTGTCTTCTCTTATAATGACTGTCCTTGCTTCAAAGAATAATGGAGACACGTTTTACTTCCCTTAAATCCATATCACGATATCAGTTTCTAGAAATTACCATCTTTGTGAAGACCATCAATTTAATGTTGGAGAAAGTGTTATCTTTTAAAGTCATCTGTGTGTGTATAATTCTTAAAACATTTTATAGTTTCTCTATTCCTTAGTGTTCCAATACTTCAGATAATTAACCCATATGGACACTGAATATACATATATAAAATTAATTGTGCTCTATATATGTTAAGTTTAAAGGTTTTGAACACAAAATGAAAAACAAGTATTTAAGCACAGTACCACTAATTTCATATTGATTGTATAGAAATGATATTTGTGTTAAAAATAAATATTAACATATACAATAATATTTATTATATACAACTGTAATATGTTGTTTACGTATCATTAATCACAATGCTGTTAATAGAATTATTGATTTTAAAGATTTGAATTAATAATTTCAAAGATATTATTTTAGTCAATTATTACCACTTAGTAATTATATTTTTTGTACCTTTAAGTATGTCATTAGAAAAAAATTGGATACATACGTTACCTTAGTATATTTTTATTAGGTAATGTGCTCTGTTTAGGTCAGGTGAGTTTGAAAGGGATAAAAGAAGAAGGATAGTAGGCACTGAATCATTTTTTCATGAGAGAGAGCATCCCAAGTACCCTTGTCATGGCCCCCAAGACTTCCTTATTCCTCAGGCTGTAGATAAGGGGGTTGAGCATAGGGGTGAGGATGGTGTAGAACACAGCCAGAATCTTATCTCCCGAAGGGGATCGGAGATTCCTGGGCCGAAGGTAAGTGTAGACAAAAGGGGCATAGTAAAAGGTCACCACTGTTAAATGCGTTGAACAGGTGGTGAAGGCTTTCTTTCTTCCCTCTTTTGAGCGCATACTAGAGACAGCAAAAAGGACCCGACCATAGGAAGCAGTGATCCCGAGGAAAGGAAAGAGGAGAAACAGGCTTGTGCTCACAAACACCATGTATTCGTAGACCCAGGTGTCCACACAGGCCAGAGGTAACATGGCTGGAACGTCACAGAAGAAATGCTTAATGGCCCTAGAGCTGCAGTAAGGAATGTGAAGAGCATAGACTGTGTGTGCCAAGGAATTGAGGGAGCCCAGTAACCAAGATCCTATGATCATTTTGACACACATCATTTTACTCATGCGGATGGGGTAGTGGAGCGGGTGGCAGATGGCCACATAGCGGTCATAGGCCATGGAGGCCAGCAGTAAGCCTTCAGCTCCTGCCATAGTCAGGAAAAAGAAGCTTTGAATCCCACAGCTCAGGAATGAAATGCTTTTCTGCCCAGAAAGGAAGTTGATAGCCATTTTGGGCACAGTAGTGGAGATATACATCAGATCCGACAGCGAGAGCTGGCTGAGGAGAAAGTACATGGGAGTGTGGAGCCGAGCATCCACACTTATGAGGTAGATCATTGCTGAGTTACCAATCAAGGCGAGAAAGAAGAGGATGAGGATGAGGAATAAGAGAAGAAGCCCAGTTTGATTTGGAGGCAATAGTCCCAGAAGAATGAAATCACTTGAGGTCTGATTCCATTTCTCCATGAATATTGATGTCTATCACTAGCTTGAAGAAAAATTAAAACATGAAATAAGAATGAAACAGAACCAGATATCAAAGAGAATTAACTTTTTGACAATGAGTGCGAATGAATGTTTTTCCTCCATAATGCAAATCTGTTGAGCTGAATTTAATAATTAAATTTAAAATTTCTTTCTTCTTAAGTACTATCTCAGCAAATCAGAGAAATTTTGCCTTTATGTATAAAATTATGGTTAGCAAATATAAATAAGACAGCTAAAGTATCCCATGCTGATCAAACCCATGATTCAAGATTATTAACTATTCATTAGCTGAAGAAAGAATTATTGAATTTTGTCTCCAACTGGCACCTCAAGTTTGTAATAGAAAATCAAATGTTTGCTTTAGTAGTACATATTCTGTGGATATAGGATCAATAGTCCCTCTCATTTTTCTCCTTTCTGTCACTTTAAATTTGGTCCTACTTCCCTAGCTGAAATTTGCTCTATACAGGTAAACTAGATCCTCACCTTGATGGTCAACCCCTTGCATTCTCTTAAGTCATTTATCTGCCGTTCTGAAAATAATCTCACCATCCCAAATCACAGTCCTCACAATGTTAAACCATGTGAAAACTATAAATCCATCCTTATTATAATTGTATTTGAATATTTGCTATCCCTGTTGTTTTCAAAATCAAAATTCATAGATTCCAAACTCAAAATGCATGGATTGTCAATTAAACAAAGTACCTACAATAATGATCTCAGACAAAATGATGTTTTCCTTAATATATTACACATCTGTGAATTACTATATGTAACAAATTAACATTGTTAAAGTGATTATAAGGAATGCAAATATACACATATACATACTACCTATCTACAATCTTGAGTCTTTCAGATGTTATAACTTACGTGAACTCTTCTTGACATTACTTCACTTTCTTTAATTCTTCCTTGGCACAGATCAAGTGCATTTACACATCAATATTTTCCAGTTTCAAGCAACCAACACTTCGTTGATATGAAGAAATAAGTTTCTCAATCATTGTGAAGGCTAGGATGAGAGTTTGAGCCTGTGAGGGCTTTTGTAATTTCTACTTATTTCATTATGCCACTTGGTGCAATGGTTTGGTTATGTTTGGTATATGTGGGGCCCTCTTTGATTTCAAGCTGAGCCATTCTCCCCTCTATCCACAGGCTGTGACTGTTTCCACACTATATGCCAACACACTGCACATGGACACAGGAGGGGATGCTGTTTTTCTTGTCTGCAGTTCAAGTTTCTTAATATACAGGCTGGAGCATGAAGCACGTGCAAAGCTAACCAACCAGAAAAAATATAAACAGTATTGTGTTTATTGATTTCCATCTCTGTTATGTTTGTCCTTATCCCATTAATATTGAATCCATTGAGAATAATAAAAAATGCTGATCATTTATAGTAAGGAAATGGAAAGTGAGAAGCAAATAAATTTCCATTGCTGAATTTCCACTTCTCTGTGCCAAGCCTTGGTGATTTTATTGAAACGTAGGACACTTTGTATCTGCTCTTTGCCCCCAGTGCCCTGAATTGTTTAATTTGTTATTCCTTTCCTCAGTTTTCCATTTCTGCATAAGTGAGTTTTCTTATATTTCTAATACAAGTTTACTGTCCTCCCTTATCATAACTTTGTATGAGACTTTTTTCAATATATGTATGCTTTTCTGATTTAAATAAATACAGATGCCATAGCCTAATTGTGATACTGATTTAAGTAGTGATACTGTATTATTCAGTTCTCTACAATAAAGAAAAGTTGATAGTAATTCATTGCTATTTCTTAAATCATGGAATTTTCTAAATGTTAAGCACTACTACAAAGGAAATGAGAGTCAAAATGACTGAATTTTAATATATTCATATATGAGTATATAAACTAAATAAGGAAAGAAAGCAAATAAATCACAGGAAAGTAGAATAGTCTATGTGAGGATTAAGTGTCAGAGATAAGGAAGAGAGCCAATGGAGACGATGAATGTGAGTAAAGATGGTTGAAGTAAATTATACCACATATGACAGTGGAACAATTAAACCCTTGGAAATTATTTTAAGAAATGATAAAAGGGGATAAAGAAAAGAGATGGAGAGCAGAATTTGATTTGGACACATAATATGTATATATAAAAATATCACTATGAAATTCCCCTTTATATAAATAATATATGCTAGTAAAAATAGGGGGAGTGCAGGGGGGAGGATGGGAAGGGATGAGAAGGGGAAACAAAGGAGGAGGCAACAATGCTTGACAAGAAATATACTCTTTTTTTTTTTTGCCTGTTGTAGGTCTTGAACTCTGGGCCTTGGTGCTGTCCCTGAGCTCTTCAGCTCAAAGCTACTGCTCTACCACTTGATAACTAGTATATTCTGAGACAAGCAGAAATGGTCAGATAAAGTGATATTAAGTGAAATGAACCCCAAGTTAAGGTCTCAAATGCTTTTTCTTTCTTGGTATTGTGTCTAACATATTTATAAGATATTTCTTTGTTGCTTTGTATGTCCCTCCCCCACGGTATAACCCCTGTTTTCACAGTATTTGATGTTGGTATAATTTGGGGAGGGGAAGGGAAAAAACAAATTGTTTAAATAAGGATACAGGTGGACCCATTGCAACAATGAGATGTACAAGACGTTATGTCGAAAAATGAACTTTACAACTTTGGCGCGGGGTGGGGGGAGATGGGAAGGGATAGGAAGGGAAAACAAAGGAGGAGGCAACAATGCTTGACAAGAAATGTACTGGTCATCTTTCTCATGTAATTGTAACCCCTCTGTATGGTATTTTCACAATAAAAATTACAAAAAAATAAGACAATGATTACCATCATTATTATGCATTCTTCACAGTACAGTCTATCTGTTTTAAGGAGTTGTTCCTCTAAGAATGCATTGGTCATTGAATATATGAGAAATCTGTAATAAGTTTTAAACAAATGATGCAGATATCAGAATATTACTTCAAACACATAGTATGAGATTGTGTAGTGACTCATTACACAAAGAAGTATGTAGGGTAATGGTTAGAGTGACACCCCAGTGATTTCTCTATGGAGATTCTCTCTAAGAAGGCCTTTTAAAGAATACTCCATTAACAATGAGGAGTAAGGTAAAATCCCTTTATAAAGCCTTTTCATTTCATGAGGACTTCACCATTAAATGTGCTTGAAGGACAAGTTCTAGTGACTTTTGTGTAGCTATGGACTTGAATTTTATTCTGTGTAACATGAGACCTCTTGCAGTCAGGCACAGATAGAAAGATCTCACTGATGTTTGAGTGCAGAGACTTGTGAAGCCTTGTATCTCAAGAAAACATGGAGCCACAGCATATCAGGAAAGACTATTCCTAAATAGTAAATGATTAAAGACTCATTTCTCTTCTACCTCTGTTTTTTTTTTTTGTCGGTCGTGGGGCTTGAACTCTGGGCCTGGGCACTGTCCCTCAGCTCTTCAGCTCAAGGCGAGCGCTCTACCACTTGAGCTACAGTGCCACTTCCTCTCTTCTACCTCTGTATGAAACACCAATTTCACCATAGGCTTTGAACAGATCTACCTGTTAAAAGAATCATTAGTTTTAGACTGAATGAGTATTTTCTTCATATTGAAGACAACATGGATATCTTTTGGAAAGTCAATGTTTGACATGCATGTCATGAAAATGAGGAGAGAAGATCATCGCTTGTAACATTTTTTATTCTCTTTACTATTCTGGTACTGGAGCTTGAATTTGGGGCTTTGGTCTATCACTTGTTCTTTTAATTCAAGTCTGACACTAGAATGCTTGATCCATTCCTTTCTATTTGGCTTTTTCCTGCTGATTGGAGATCAGAGTTTCTCAAAATTGTCTGACTGGTCTGGCATTGAACCTTGATCCTCAGATCTCAGCCTCCTTAGTACTTAGGATTACAAAGATGATTCTCTGGTACCAAGCTACAAGTAACGTTATTAATCCCATTGTTGAGTTTAGGTAAATTGAGAATAAGACACTTACCAGTAGTCCTGCCAACAGGTGTGTTTCCAGTAGAAAGCACTGGGTGCACTAAGTCTGCTCTAAGTTGTGCTGGAAGGGGGTAAAGCCATGTGTGCATTTAGATTATCTGCCACTTAGATGGCAATCTAGAAAATACTTCAATACTTACTTGAATTCCTAAATTGAAAATTCTCATATTAATAGGAAATGGATGAAAATACCTTCACAATATTGAAGATTTTTGGACCTAAGACTCAGTAATTAGTGCTGAAGGTCCATTTTCATGGGTGCCTAACAGCTCTCCTTTTAAAGCAGGGATTAGTATTTAAAATTGGCATTTATGCTATTAAGTAGTTTTACAGAAAGAGTTACCTTTCAACAAATCAGTTTATAAGTTCAAGGCATCTTGATGAATGTCACTGGCTTGAGCATTCTACATCCAGGCCAACTGTCCGCTCAAGTTTCCTTAATTTTAGAGGATATGCATCAAATATCATGACTGCACCTTCTCTAAACCTTCTTCTCTTCAATTATATATCATTGTGCCTTGACCAACCTCACATGCCCTTCAAGTGCTACTTTTCTGGTATACATTTTGTTTGTGAGTTTTTCTAGGGAGTTGCAGTTTAAATTTTTCCTTACAAATACCATACTTTGCTTAATTGGGTACATTAATGTACACTTGCATACCACTTCACATGTCTTTACACAAACATTGTTAAATTAATTTGCACTGCCACATATGGAAGAAAATGTGCAACCTTTGTCTTTCCTGAGCCTGACAATGCAGCAGTTTATGGATGCACAGCGTTGTTGGTAATATTGTTATTTGAGGATATTACTCATGTTACTTAGAGTCCTCAAGTAATCAGATACATATTGCTGAAATTCATGGAGGTCAAATTAAAACAAGCTCATTTAGCTATAAATTGTAAATGAAACTAGTATAGGTTCCTGAGTTTATTTTGTAAAAGCAAAATACCGAGCACATTTAGAGAAAATAAGTACAGG